CATCTTCAGAGAGATTCATGGAAAGGACTCTGATACGAAATCATGGAAAGGACTCTGATAGTCCTTTCCTGTAGGTTTCTGATAACTTTAAGATCATAAAACTGAACTGGGAAAGAATTTCCAGAACTAAAGGAAAAACTGGATTCAAGCAGAACACAAATTAATAACATGGAATTGAATGAACTGATGAGGATGATTGTAATTTTTTTACAACTGTTTCTTTGAAACATTGCTGATGGCTTAGTTTTGTTTTCTTCCAGATTTAAGGAAAGCTTTTTCCCTTTTCTCTTAAGCTATCTATGACTTACAGTAATTTTGTAAAGTATACCCTTGTAAACAAATGTAACATTTACTTTTTCTTCCTATCTGATCCCTCCAGAATTCAGAAACCTATTGAGTATTCTTATTTTCATGGCAATATGGTTATTTGCATAAGTTCAGTAGAATCTGTTCTCCTTATAACAGGACACAATGGCAAACATTGGTTATATTATCAAAGCTTTGACTGGAATGTCATGTTTGAGAATATGTATACAATCAAATATGATTTGATTTAGACATGGGCTCCCTGCTCAGTGGGGAGTCTACTTGTCCCTCTCTCTCTCTTTCTCTCCCTCTGCCCCTCCTCCCCAACTTGTGCTCTCTCTCTCTCTTTTCTCTTGAATAAATAAATAAAATCTTAAAAAAAAACCCAACGAATATGACCAGACAGTTTGAAGGAGCCAAGTTTGACTTCATGCAACCAATAAAAGGCCCTTGGAAAAACTAGCCTGATACCTTGCTTAAGGGTTCCCTGTAAACTTATCCTCAGGAACCCTCAGGATACCTTCAAAAGGAAGAATTCATGCAAATCTGTGGGTATTCCAGGTGAAGTCTGATGGTGAGTTCTTGGCTTGGTTTCTTAGCCTGGAGAGGCTTTTAACAGTCCGGTCTAAGATTCATTATGAAAAGGTCCAGCAAAGAGGATTTAAAAAGAACCTATATGGTCGGTCACTATGCTTGCTGCATTTATGTAAATAATCAGGCCAAATCTAATGAGACTAGACTTATTTTGCAAACAAATTAGTCTTACTGTGATGATCTTTGATAGAGATGAGGGTGATTATAGAGCGAAAAATTGTGTTTTTAGGACATTATACACAAACTTGTAGACATCAGATTCTAGTCCTGTTTATTGTCTTTGAGGTTTTGTTATATACCTATAAGCTGAAGTGGATCTTGAATTCTTGTGCCTACAACTCTCCATTCTAAAGTTTCCAATTTTCTCCCATCCTTCTGATTTGGAATCACAAAAAGAAAAAAAGACTGCCTTGACCTGCTCCTTGGAAGAGACCATACCAGGTCCTCCTCACTACCATACATAAGTCAGACTTCAGGAACTTGAATCTTGGATGCACATCTCCCAGTTAAAAAGACTTCAGACTCTTGGAATTACACATCAGCTAGAGATCTAAAGTTAAAACTGACTGGGGAGGTTACGCCTCAGAAACAGATGGCATCTTGAGTGGACAGCTCTCCAGAGTTCACAGATCAAGATCTTCATCTCCAGCACAAAAACTTTATTCTTTTTGCTTTTTTGCTACTTGCTTTTTCTCTCTAATAATGCACAGGAGGACAGTGCTCCTTAATTCTGGCAACTCTCACTGAACGTACCAATAGGGCCACAGCTGCACAGTAAAAGTCCCTTGACTTTCCTGCTAAGGTGGTTTTAGAGAATAGAATTGCTTTAGATTACTTACTGGCTGAACAAAGAGGAGTCCGTGCCATAGCCAATAACTCCTGCTGTACCTGAATCAATACTTGTGGTCTCGTAGCAAATACAGGAAATGGATAAATATGCTGCTGGGCTAAAATAGGTTGCTGCCCTTTTAGGTATATTTTTTAAAATTTGTTTGATACCAGCTGGTATGGTTCATGGGTGCCCTGGTTAATGAGTATACTTGAGTCTCTTGGTGTTACCCTCCTAATAGTTAACCATTGTTTGTAGTCTCCCTTGTGTGGTCTCACTGCTCTCAGAGAAACAGAAACAAGGTGAACAATGAGAGGAACACAAAGACAATTCTTCCATGGATCTGATGTCATTCCCTATGAGTATCATAATGAGACGAGCAACTTAGTATTGATGGTGACTGAGAATCACACCAATAGCAGATGTTTGGTCAATCTCTTGTGTATAAGAGGATGACCCAAATGGGGGAATTATTAAATTAATTAAACAAGGAGGCCATTAAACTGATGTGGCTCTAATGCTGGGGCAGCCTGTGTAAGCCATATAACCCCAAATCTAAGCCCCTGTGCACCTAATGGGTATGAAATCAAAGCACTGAGGGCAGCCATTCACTACTAATAGCCAGTCAATAATTTCCTGACTTTGTCTCTGCCTTTTCTCTATACAAGTCTCTGTCCCTGTGCTCCTGTTGGTGGAGCACTCCTAACCACTTCCAGTTTGGTGCTGCTTGATTCAAATCCATTTTTTTCTCAAATACTGTAAGATAATGACATTCATCCTGTACACTGGAGTAAATGAATGAGGCTAATGTCGTCGGGGATGGCCACCTAGAAGCCTAGGCCCTGCCTGGTTGTCCTGAGGGCCGAGGGAGCCATGTATCAGCCTCCTGTAATGCATTCACGGTACATCAGGGCCAGCTCTACACCCCAGGACACCTAGAAGAATGTATTATTCTGATGTTATGATGAGCATATCTTTCTTTTTTAAAAAATGCTTCTGTGTGTGTGTGTAACCTATTCCTTACATTGATTATGTAGGACCTTATAATTGTGAAACCCCTCCTTAGTGGAAATACAGATGTTTTTCTTGACCCCTTTCTGATCCTACCTGTTTTCCATAAAATATGCTCAACCTGATTCCAAAAGTTTATTTGATTTTTCTTACCTGGAGTCATTCACTCAACAGTTATTACCTGAGTTCTTTTATATTCCAGGTACTTAGCTAAACACTGGGGATAGAGAAATGGTAAAGGCGGTTTCTGAGTCTAAAGCGTTTAGACTTTAGACTCGCTAAACTGGAGGGAAACCCAGAATGGTCAGAGAAAGCAAGAAGCGCTTAATGGTGGTTGGTCCAAAGTTTCGTGACCTTTGACTTGGGGCAAGTGGGAAGACTTCCCAGAAGCAGTGACATTTGCGGTGTAGCTTGAAGTTAGGAGTGAAGGCTTGACATTTCAGTCAGGAAATAGATCATTGGATAAGAGACAGAAACCTGTGGTTCTAGGAAGTAGGGGAGCTTGTTAGTGTGCCTGGAATGCCAGTTTCAGGCAGCACCTAGAAGAGTGACAGAGGATGAGGGCAGAAATGAAGGTACAGTTAGGTTTTGGGGAATTTTGCCTGCTGCCCAGAAAGGCTAGAACTTTTTATGCAGGAGACTGACATCTGCAGAGTTTTTTTTTTTTTTTTTAAGATTTTATTTATTTATTTATTTATTTATCTATTTGAAATAGAGTGAGAGAGCACAAGCAGGGCAGATGGGCAGAGGGGTAGGGAGAGGTGGAGGCTGACTCAGGGCTCCATCCCAGGACCCTGGGACCATGACCTGAGCCGAAGACAGATGCTTCACCGACTGAGCCACCCAGGCGCCCCTGCAGACAGTTTTTAAAAACATGGCTCTGGCATCAATGTGGAGAATGGTTGGGTGGGGAGGTCATTAGGAGATTGTTGCAATCTTGAAAACAGAAGTGAGGAGGGCTTGACCTAGGGTCAGGATGGTGGGGGTGGATGAAAGAATGCAGTGGTGATAGAATCCATAGCAACGGCTGCAGGAACACAAGGCAAGTCAGTCTGGGCAACTGAGTAAGTGACAAAATCATTAACAAAACAAGGAGAAAGACTCAACCCCCACCATTTTAGCTCTTCAAATCCAACCCCTCCTTTTAGACGTAACTCAGGGGCCCATTCCTATACAAGCTTTCTTGCATCCTTGTTTCCTTAGGGACCACTTTCTTCCCAGAATAAATATTCTGGGAATCAGCAGTGGACAGTTTGCTGCAAGCAGGAGGCTGTTATTTCATGTGTGTTAGGTCTGTTTCCTGAAGTAGGCTGCAGGACTGTCATTCACAAGCCCCACATCTCATACTTCCCTGATACTCATCCCATCGGCTAGTGCACAGTGTCAAGCATTTACTGGGTATTGTCTACAACAGGCAGCAGGGCCTAGTGTGGTGCTTGCAAATGAAATCTTAAGTATAAAGTAGATAGGAAATGTAGACTGAACATTAAAAAAAAAAAAAAAGTAGAATTACCCTGGGAAGCCAAAAAAAAAAAAAAAGGGAAGGTAGCCTGTCTGATTCATACAGGGACGAAATCCAGGATCCGTGGTTCCCTCCTGTCTAGGGCTCCATGAAACACAGTTTGAAAACTTTTGGCTTGGTGGACTGGCCATGGGTTTGGGGGTCAGAACTGAGTTCTAATCCCTGCTCTGTCTCTTACCTAGCTGCAACAGAATAGACAAATGGAGAAACTGCTCTGAGCCTCACTTTCCCCCCAGTAAAACAAGGATAATTATACTTCCAATGTAGGCTTATTGTGAGGACCAAGTGAGGCAATGCATGCAAAAATCTGTGGCACCTATTAAGTACTCACTAGGTCATAGTTGTTGGTAAGAATATCAATAAGACATTTGCCAGCTGATGGAGTAACTGAGCCCTATTGAATTGGTACTTGTTCAGTCTAAATAAATCTACCCTTGTTCAAGGTAGGAAAAGCCAGGGTTGGGATGAAGTTATAGGGGAGTTTAGGATTCAAAGGGGACCCAATCTTGTCTTACACTGTGCTCCATCCACTCCATAAACCCACAATCACCTACCTTTGCATGAGGGTCTATCAATATTTAATGTGTGGGTGTCAGTTGCTGTAAACTGAGCATACCCCAGGACCAACTTGAATTAATTATATGCAAGAGGAGAGAAAATAAAATGCCTTTTCCTCAGAGCCCCAAATTTTACTGGCTAACACTGAAGCCTGGAAACCACAGGGTAAAATTTCTACTGATGGAGGACCCTGAAAAGAAGCTGAACCAGAAGAGTGACAGCAAACCACGGAAAGTACGATTTAAAATCTCTTCCTCCTACAGTGGCAGAGTGTTGAAGCAGGTCTTTGAGGATGGGCAGGAATTAGAGTCGCCAAAGGAGGAATACCCTCACAGTTTTCTCCAAGAGTCCCTTGAACCAATGGATGGTGTTTATGGGTCTGGGGAAGCCCCCAAACCCCAACCATACTCCCCTAAGCTGACTGCTCAAAGGATCAGCGTGTTTAGAGAGGGCAATGCCTACGCTTTGGCGGGTAGCCAGCCTTTCTTCAATGATTACAAGGCGAATGACCATAAGGTTGGTATTGTGCATGGTATATAAACTTTAAGGACTAAAATGTATATAGGAGAACACCTGACTGATTCAAATTTGTATCTTGCTCATGCTCCAGTATCAACCAGAGCTGTAGGTGCACCAAATGGGAAGCCGCTATTGGAATAATATTTCTGGGACAAAAATAACATGCTTGCTGACTCCTTATAGGAAAGTGCAATAAGCATGTATAGTATTCATTTCCATCCAGGATAGTAAATTGTAATTGGGTCATTGGCTGGGTTATCTTGGTAAGTAAATTAAATAGAGATGCAGTGGTTTTCAGCTTGCCAGACTGCCGTTTTAGAAAATTATGCGACAACTGGTTGTTTTGTTTCCTGAAAGAGCTGAGTGTTTGAAGGTGCTCATTTTACTCCAGCCAGTTTTTCAGCTTGTGGTTTATCCATGTCTTGTTTTATTTCCTATCTCCCTCCTGCTGCCTGCTTTTAAAAAATGTTTGTTTCTTTGTTTATTTATTTTGCCTTTCCATTGCTCATTAGCATGAACACTGAGTGGTTGGAGTCCTGGGAAGAAATGGCAAAAAGCATGTCAACCAGAGGAAATGTTACTTGGGGAAGAAGTCTGAGCTAATAGTTCAATTGAAACGTGTATTTTATCTGTTAATTTCAGTTATCTTTCCCAGTACCATGGATAATCAAAAGCCCCTGCATGATTTTCTTTTAAGCTAGAAGAACTTGGAAAATATTCACTGATTTCTAAAAATGAAAAGGAGATGTGTATATGTCTGCTACTGGGACCATGAATGCCTTTTTTCTTTAAGATTAAATACAATTATATAGTGTGCCAGGCTATTAATGAATAGTACACCAGGATATGCTCTCATCTTTAAAGTGTGAAATTCAGATAATTACTCTCTAATCATTTTTATTGTTAGTTGCCTAAGGGAACAGATAATTCATCTATGGCAGAAAAATGCATTGGCCTTTCTGGCATTGGTAAAAGTGTAATTACGGGAGTCCACATTTATCAGAGATAATACCAGGTTTCTTTTTGATAATAAAGGGGGCTGGAGTGAACAACCCCTCATGTTAGTGGAGTGCCTTATGCATTACAAAGTAGTCTCAGTAATTTCTCCTTGGGTCTTGACCACAGCCTTGAGGAGAAAGGCAAAATACGGTCATTCCCATTTTGCAGATAAGGAAAACCGAGTGCCAAGTTGTTAAGGGATCCACCCAGTATTAGAGAGTCATTAGGTGCAAAGTCAGAATAAGAACCCAGGTATTCTGATTTCTCATGCTTTTGGTGGTGTGGAATGTTCCTTTTTATTCTCTAAAATTATTCTTTTTATTCCAGTTCCATTCTCACCATTACTAATAATGATGATGTTAATAGTAATAGTTACCATTACCGAGTGTTTATTATATCCTAGGTTCTTGGTTATGTCTTCTTGTACTTACATATCTCTTTTAAACCAAATCTTACTTGTAGGTTTAGACTTTAAAAAGTTGTAGTTTCTACAGACCTTTTACAAGGCCATGGTAGATAATTTGACCACTGGACCGTCACAAGTCATGTGTCAAACTTGGCACTTATGTAAATGTGTATGATTGGTAAGGACTTATACAACCAGATAATTGAGTCTTCATAGCAGCACCACAACATTGTGTTTAAACACAGTACTCTGGAGACCATTTTTAGAGTTTGATTCCTGCTTGATCGGGTTTCCTGCTTGATCCAGTTGTCCTTGTTTTCCTTGTTGCCTGATCCAAATGCTACCTCCCAATCTTAGCCCGCCTCTGGTTGAGAGAGGGGTCAGGATGGATTCCTGCAGCTCCGCCCGCTGAAACAGGTTGTCAGCGTGGTATTTATGAAACATAAGGAATCGAGAACTGGAAAGCCATGGTTTTTCAATAGCGAATCCAACTGTAAAATAAACCCTAGTAAATATTGATTATAAAGCAACACTGGGTAGCAGTTAAGCACAACAATTACACTAAAAGCTCTGAATTTGAGCAGGTATTTGTACACCAATGTTTATAGCAGCTTTTTCACAGTTGCTCACAAGTGGAAACACCCAAATGTCCATCAGTAGACGAATAACACGTATATACACACAGTCGAATATTATTCAGCCTTAAAAAGGAAGGCTATTCTGACACATGCTACAAGATGGATGAAACTTGAAGACATTACGCTAAGTGAAATACACCAGTCATAAGGAGAGAATTATATGATTCCGTCTCTGTGAAGTGCCTAGAACAGTCAGATTTAAAGAGACAGAAAATAGAGCCGTGGTTGCCAGGGGCTGGGGGAGGGGAGAAGTGGGAGTTTACTGGGGATACAGTTTCAGTTTGAGCAGATGAAGTTCAGGGGATGACTGGTAGTAATGGTTACACAGTAGTGTGAACGTACTAATACCACTAACCTGTACATTTAGAAATGGTTAAAGTGGTAAATTTTATGTACTGTATATTTTACCACCGTAAAAATAATCATTAAGAAAAAAAAACGGGCGGGCGCCTGTGTGGCTCAGTCAGTTAAATGTCTCCTTTGGCTCAGGTCACAATCTCAGGTTCCTGGGATTGAGTTCCTCATCAGGCTCCCTGCTCAGCGGGGAGTGTGCTTCCCTTGCTCCCTCTGCCAACCCCCTCCCCCACCCCCCACCCCCGGCTTGTGCTGTCTTTCTCTCTGTCTCTCCCAAATAAATAAATAAAATCTTAAAAAAAAAAAAAAAAAAGGCAGGTGGGGCACCTGGGTGGCTCAGTTGGTTGAGCAGCTGCCTTCAGCTCAGGTCATGATCCCAGGGTCTTGGGATCGAGCCCGGCATTGGGCTCCCTGCTTGGCGGGAAGCCTGTTTCTCCCTTCTCCCACTCCTCCTGCTTGTGTTCTTTCTCTAGCTGTCTCTCTCTCTCTCTCTGTCAGTTAAATAAATAAATAAAATTAAAAAAAAAAAGGCAGGGACTATGATGTCTCTTAAACCTGGGCTTGCTGTCCACTCTACCTACTTAACTGTGGGAGCTTGAGCAGACCACTTAATCTTGCCTTGCTTCAATGTCATCCTCTAGGAGATGAGAGTAATAAAAGTATCTACTTATGAAGATTGTTGTGGTGATTAAAAAAAGAATATACGTACAAAATACTTAGCATTGTGCCTGGAACATTGGATGTGCTTAGCAAATATTCCCTACCATTTTGATCACGACCAGGTTCTCATCAAAGAAATATTGAGTCTTTTAAAAAAATTGTATATGATAATGTGGTTATAAATAAATAAATATTTTAAAGAATTGAAACCATCTGAAGTTTATAAGGTTCATTTAAAAAATGGAAGTGAAGGAAGGGATGTGGCATTTACTGAACACATATTTTGTACATAGGTATTTCATCTTCACAGTAATTCTTTGAGAATTCCACAAATTGGACAAACAGCGCATGGGGTTTGGGAACTTGCAAATCTTACACAGAAAAATTGACCTCAGGCCTGCCTGCCCCAAAGCCCTTTGCATTTCTAGGACTCAGGAAGGTGTCCCTGCATTTTAAGGGGAAAGGTTTCATGGTGCCTGAGTAGCGGTCTCCAGGCACGTGACCACTGACGTCAGAGCACTTATGAAGCTTGGTCACCCAAGATGTCATTCTGGGCACTATGGAAGGAAACACAAAAATTCCTGGCTTCATCCGGGCCCTCTGTAATGTAGGAGTGGGTGTTCCTCACGGGCTTTTGGTGTCACTAGATAACGTGAACTTTAGTTACACCTGAAGGGTTTCCTTAGACGCAAGGAAGAACTTGGCTGTCAGGGTGAATGAAACATAAACACACCTTACAGGTGATTTGGGACCCTCCTTCTTTCAAGTACATTAAAAATAAATGTACTGTCTTGGGTGTCTCAGATATAGACCAGCTTAGAGGCAGGGGGTTGGACCAGATGACCACAGATTTTTTTTTCTTTTTTCTTATTTTAAGATTTTATTTATTTATTTGACAGAGATAGACTCAGCGAGAGAGGGAACACAAGCAGGGGGAGTGGGAGAGGGAGAAGCAGGCCTTCTGCAGAGCAGGGAGCCTGATGCGGGGCTCGATCCCAGGACCCTGGGATCACGACCTGAGCCGAAGGCAGACACTTAATGACTGAGCCACCCAGGTGCCCCCCACCTTTTTTTAAATAGATTGAGAGTTTCACCTTGAAAAAACCAGTTTTACATGTGAAAAAAAGCTCCCTAGTAACTAAGCCTCTTTGGCTATTAGTGGAAGTGGAAATGGAACCTTCTAAAAGTGCCACCATCTTTATCTTCTGATGTTCAGAAACTGATAGTCCAGAGTGTGAAACAGGAACCCAGGGTGCATCAAACAATAGGAAATGGAGGCTGCCACACGATCCCTTGAAGAGAGGGAGAGAAAACAGGGCCAAGTAGGAAGCTCGTGGCTTCATAAATAATAATAGAAAACTCTGTTTCAAGGAAGGGGATCCTAGTACTGAAGTCCCGTTTAAGCCAGGTTGTGACTGAATGTGTTATGGCTATAAATAGGAGACTGCTTGATTGCGGCATCCCAATAAAATTTGGTTTCTACATTTCTATAAAGGCAGGGCAGGATCTTTGGTGCTGGGCCACTTAGCTGTGTAGCATGATTGTGCATGCAGTACTAATGAACAGTTTTTAATACCAGCCACAGTAACAATGCCCACCCCTGCATAGTATCTTTAGCTTTGAAAACCCTGTTTTATATATTCTTCATTGCACCTCCACCCCTAGAAATCGATATAATTAGCCTCAGGGAGGAGCATCAAAATCTTTCCCCACAGGAACATTGCCCAGCCAGCACCAGCACAGAAGCCAGCCGAGCGTTGGGGCAGGGTCCTGAGACCTGGGCTCCTAAGCATTAACTGCTACATTACTGGGTTTGGGGGTGGTAGAGGCTCCCTGAAGAGAGCCGGGGGTGACAGGAGTCACAGGACAGCACCTCTTACTGGCCAGTATCCAAGTATTCCTGTTTTTTTGTTTTGTTTTGTTTTCTTGAGAGAGAGTGAGAGAGCATGTGTGCGCAAGTGTGTGAAGTGGGGGGGCAGAGGGAAAGGGAGAGCAGATCTTGAGCAGACTCCAGGTTGGGCGCAGAGTCCGACTCAGGCCTCGATCTTACGACCCTGAGATCATGACCTGAGCAGAAATCAAGAGTTGGACGCTCAATCGACTGAGCTTCCCAGGTGACCCACATATTCCTGTTTTAATAATGATTTTGTCTGTGGTGATGCCCACCAGTTAGATGTCACCCCATTTGCAAATGAACAAACTGAGGTTCTAAGAGGCCAAATGACTCTCCTATATCTTACACTTGGTGAATAGCAGAGTTAAGATCGGTGTTGTTTGTTGCCAAGCTATCCTATCTCTGGGTTCTTAGTTCAGTAATCCCTAAACATTTACTCCTCCATGCTTCTCTGCTGCATTGTTGTATTGCATAAATTATTCCTCAGCAAATTATCAAGTAATACATGATAAATCCACATAAAGGAACATAAGCTGTTAGTAATGATGCTACCGAAGTTTATTTATTGATATAAAAAGGTTTATATATTGTACAAATAATAAAAAACATTACATATATAAGATATTACATATATATAAGATCACTACTATATATATACATATATAGATATATATATATATATGATCATTATATACATAATGATCTTACAGGTTTTTTTGGGGGAAAATACTTGTGAATAGTGCAGTGTAGGTGTTAAGAATATGGGCTTTAGAGTTAGACAGACTGGAGTTCGAATCCCAGCCACAGACCCTGACCAATGGTAACCTTAGGAGGCTCTTGACTCCACTGTGACTCAGTCTCCTCATCTGTAAAAATGTAGAAATCATACAGTCCGCCTCAAGGGATGTTTGAGGGGAAAGTGAGGTAATGTTTGTAAAATGCTTAGCATCATGTCTGACACAAAATAAATGCTATCACTATAATAAAATAATGATAATAATTCAGTAAATTTTATCTACTGTTATTTATGCATACAAATTTTGGAGAGCTATTTATTTTTTTAAGCATTCTTCTGTGTTTATAAAACACTCACTGTGCCCAGCTCTGCGTCAGCTACTGTGGTATGCAGTGGGAATAGAAGCTTTGGCCCTGGCCATGCAGAGTCTTACACCCCAGTTATAGGATTAGTGTAGCTTTGGTTGGTTACCATCAACAGGGAGAAGGAAGCTGGTTTTCAGGGTTTTCAAGAGAGAGCGAACAAACCAGGGAGTGAATTGTAGCTTTGGGGTCTGTTGGAATTCTACGGGCTAGAGAGTTACAAGTTCTTTCTCCCCTATTTCCTGGGATGTTGAACAGGTTCTGCAGCCCTGTATGTGGTGATTGCTGGTAAGTCGCCATGCTCATTCTTCATTTCTCTAGTCCCCACCTATTATAGATTTTGGAAAGATCATCATCTACACGAATAACTTGAGAATCATTCGAACCCCAATGGACAAGAGAGACTTCATGAGGAAAATTCTCCAGAAGGAAGAGGAGGCTGAGGAAGAGTCTCTGTTGAGCAAAGAAGAAATCTATGGAGACCGTGACCAGAACGACAGGCATTTGCCAGACGCGGAATGCACATTTCCCCATAACCGGTACCCACAGGTGTGTCAGAATGGTTCACAATCCTCCTTGGGGCTGGCCCTACAGCAGTGGTCTCCAAATGGTTTTGATTGTGCACTACTTAAGTGAAAACTTGAATATAAATACTTAAGATGTTTAACTGTTAAAAATGTTAAGGAATTTTAAGTTTATTATATTTTAATGGTATGTGATTAGCAATAATAGTTATGTCTGTATTTCAAATATGCATAATTTTAATTGTTTCTGGTGACTTCTTCTGAGATCTCATTAGGTATTTATTGTTTTCACTCTGCATTGTGGCATAGAACAGCTTATTCCAGAGATGGGAAAAATCAGCTCTGTTCTTTTTCTTGTGGGTTTGCTTGTGCTTCTGTTATTGGGGTTATCTTCAATCCAGTTTCCTTAAAGAATCTTATCAAGCCACGTGTTTGGGTTTTGTAGAGATTAGTTAGTTAAAACTAAGCACTATCCTCTGTACATCCGCTGGACCAGGGACAAGTGAACTTCCGTATGCTGCAGTATGCTCAAAGTGAATGAATGAGCTGGGACACCACTGTCACTGTACGTGCAGTGAGGTCACTTTCCATCATGATTACTCCAGGGTCCCTTGGGTACTGTATTTGTCTGCTGACTGCCTGACCTAGTGAGGGGGCCAGGAGCAACTAATTTATTAAAAATTAGCATAACAGTTTCTTTTGAAAATATGATTGAAGCTTAATTTCTTGCCTTTTTAAGATAAAAAGTAAATAGAAATACTTAGAATGATTTTCTGCCCATACCTCTTGGAGGTGCGGACTCCTCACCTTGGAAACCGTTGCTCAGACGTGCTCAGATAAAGGGGTAGAGTGATGATATTCATTAGTTCACAGTGTGGGATTGGCAGTGGGAAAAGCAATTTTGATGGATTTAAGCTAAGAGGGTAAAAGCTTGGATAGCAGCAGAAATGAATTTTCTCTCTCTTCAGTTTCCATCTCTTGGGAGTTGCAGCTTTACTGTGGGACTCTCTCTCATCTCCTCTGGGTTGGTGTGACAAAATGGGCCAGGGACTTCCTCATACGTGAGTGATGTCCCTACCCTCGTAGGGTTTAGAGGACAGAACAAGAAGGTGATGACCAGACTCTAGCAAAAGACTCTTATTAAAGTTCTGCTCACAAGGACTCATATCTCTTTCCAACCTGATCTCACACTTGATATTTTTGAAATGCAAATATGATCACGTCACCCCTTCATCACTCTTTTCCCCGACCGCAAACTTCAGTGACCTCTCATTGCTTAGAATAAAACAGTAGATAGCCTGGATACTGTTCACCTGTTTAGCCTACTGTTACACATCTCTCTTCATTCTCTGTCCCAGACACACTGCCCATCTAGCTACCACTCATATGCTCTTTGCTCTTTCCTGCCAGAGGCAACTTCCCTGTGCCTGGAATGTTCTCCAGATTCCCCACTGCCTTGCCCTTAGCACCTGAAATCTCAGTGGAGACATCAGTTCTTCAGAGGGGCCTCCCCTCACTTCCAGGAGGATGAAGTACCCCAGGGTGGACCCCTCAGAGCACCTCACACCCCTCCTCAGTTACGGTCTTGTATTTCCCTGTGTAAATATTTGGTTAATGTTTACTGTCACCCGCTAGAATTTCTCTCCTTGAGGGCAGGGGCCGTATTTATGTTGGGTATAGCATAGTAGTTCCCATGTCAAAAAAATGAAAAATAAAAATAAAAAGTAGAGCCTGGCACAGAGTAGGTGTGCAGTAGATATTAGTTAAATGTTCGTGGAAAGAGTACTGGAATTTGGGACCAGAGAGCCTGCTGGTAAGAACTGTCTTGCCTCTTGCCTTTTATATAGCACTGTCCAGAACCTAGCAGAGGTGCAGGCGGACTACTAAACATTGTGATCCAAAGCATCACCTTTCCACTTTAAAATTCACTAATTCTATTCTTTTCCATACCATTTGGTAATTTGTAGGAGCATATATTTTCAGTAGAGAGCCAGACATGATAAAATGCAGGTCACGCTGCAGGCCTGAATAAAAAGGCAGTGACACGCCTGACATGACAATTATCTTTAAATTCAATTTGGAGAGATCCATGTGTGTTTGCTCTGCAACCATAAACTAGGACAGAGGCGTGCAGCAGAAAGTTGCCGTGAAAGGTTATACTTCACTTGCCTGTCTTTTAAACTCTGTTTTAAATTGCTATTTGTTTGCCAAATCCCTCGTGCAGTAAATGCCCAGACAGGTTTTATTCTAAAAAAGAGGGTCAGAGAACATCAAGGAGCCCCTTCTGACCAGGAGACTCTTTGTTGTGTCAGATGGAACAGGGAAGCAGTGGGAACCTTGATGAAAGAGCCGGCCGAGGCTAAAAGCCAGACCATGCTGACCCTCTGTATTAACTATAAAAGAAAAGGAGAGGAATAATTGAATTGAGCCACAGTGAAATAGGGAAGGTGAAAAATCTGGCTGTATGTTCAGTGGATCCGAGAACATAAGTCATCTGGGCTTCTTTATGCTTTAAAGATCTTGCCTTTGAAATAATAGTAATAATAATAAGAAGAACTGCCATTTATTGAGGGCCCATGATCACTGGGCACAGTGCTTTCCATGCATTAGTCTCTTTCATTCTCACAAGGACTCTCTGAGGGCGGTATTGTTAGCAGTCTTCTTCTGTAGCTGGGAAAACCAAGGCACAGAGAAGTTAAGTAACTTGCCAGAGGTCATCAGAGCCAGTGGTCAAACCCCGATCTACCTGACTACCAACCTTATAATCATTTTTTTTTTAAGATTTTATTTATTTACTTGGCAGGGAGACAGAGAGAGAGAGACAGCAAGAGAGGGAACGCAAGCAGGGGGAGTGGGAAAGGGAGAAGGAGGCTTCCCGCCAAGCAGGGAGCCCGATGCGGGGCTTGATCCCAGGACCCTGGGATCCTGGGTTAAGCAGTCGCTTAACCGACTGAGCCACCCAGGCGCCCCCCAATCTTATAATCTTAACCCGCCTGCTGAGCAGCCTCCAGATTGCTGCTTGTTGGCCACTTCGGGGCTACCCAAGCCTTTGAGTCTGTGATGAAAGCTGAGACCCCTTTCCTTGCTTGTGCAGCTAGTAAGAGGTGGTTTGGGTAGGTCTGTCAGTTCTAGAACCTCAGCTGTGCAGAACAACTATGTTCTAAGTCCTCTTACCGAATATTTTCTGAGAAGAATTTAAAAATGCCGAGAATGAAAGACAGAAGCTTACATCTCGCATGCCATGTACAGAGTAGAGGCTCTGTAACACTTGATTTAATGAATCATTAAATGATTCAATGAGTATGCTGAGGGCAAGTGGTTGGAAGGAGGGTGGTAACTCAGGATCAGCGGAAACTCCAGTCAAGCCTCTAATACTGCATTGTATAACCACGTGACATTAGAGAAAATTTGATCGTTGATTTGTTTTTGTTCTCTGCAGCAGGCTCGCCAGGTCATTTCATTAATCTTTTTTTTTAATTTTATTATGTTATGTTAATCACCATACGTTACATCATTAGTTTTTGATGTAGTGTTCCATGATTTGTTGTTTGCATATAACACCCAGTGCTCCATTCAGTATGTGCCCTC